AGATAAAAAAGAAGTACAACAAAATTAAGCAACTAACATCAGAGAAAAAACCTACTTGTGTCAAAATGTCGCTAGAGTCGAGTTTAAAAAATAGATACATGAATTGATTGAGACACACAAATAAGATGGAAAAAAGTACCTGATAGCTTCGAAGGCTTTCCAGGGCAAGAACAGAATGAGAATGACGTAAGCAATCATTATTAAAGAAAACACATCAATGAAGATAACGAAACATTATAGAAGATAATAATTCTATCTTGTCTTTTGTAATTATGTAAGTGTCGGCAAGAATAATTTGTATTTGTCGTTTGTATTAAAATAGTGTCGGTAGGATGTAAGACCCTCCATAGTCTAGGGGTCTATATTGTAAATTATGTGTGCCGTATTGCAATCAAAAGATTGTAACAATAATTGTAACCGGCTCCTTCGAGTCTATAAATAGGGCCTTCGCTCATATGAAATAAACAAGTTAAGTTTGAGTGTTTAAGACTTGAGTTGATCTCAAAGTTCTTCATCTGTTAAAATAGTTTATCTATTTCTGAATAGCAGAGTTCTATCCAAACATATCCAAGATAATCACGTAACATAAATCATACAATCCATCGTTAATCCATCTCAACGCATCATTCGGGTATAATCTTATCATAATATTCATTTATTCGTAATGTTGCAAAATTTGGTATCAGAACTAAGTAACGTTCTTATTATTTTACATATTCAATCTATCGTCAATAAGAAAATGAACATATGCAACATCGTAAACATAATAACGAAAAATCATTGTTTTTAAATACTCATATTTAAAAAGTCATCACCAACAATTAAAATATTTATCATAAGAAGATTTAATATCATAAATATGTCTCAAGATATTTTCAATTGTTATATTACTTTTATTTCTCCATGATAGTATCATTTCGAGTTTTTCTAACTATTAATTCTACAAAATTTGAAATTTTTATTAAAATAATACTCGTTTTTAATAATAATCAAATTCATGCTTGAAATATATATTTATGTCTAACAAAATTTTGATGAATTATATTCCTAATAGAGATACTATTTTAAGAATACAGCAAATCCATGAATCTATAAGTAATTCTGAGCAAAATCTCAAGGATTCTTACGAACCTAATAATCAAGGTACGGTTTTAAACAATAACCATATTCATGATGTTACATATTTTATAAGAACTAGTATTAAAATTCGTTACAAGCAAATACATCATCTAAAAACAAAACTATTTGTATTTTAAAATAAAACATATAACTTTTAAATATTAATAAACATTCATTTGTACTATTATTTCTATTCTTGGTATGACCGTCTTTATTTGTCATCATAAACATTATATAAATAATCATCATTATAAGTTATTAACGTTATAATTATGAGTTTTTCAAGCCTAAACACAAATAAACAATAATTAAATTTTTTTCGTAAAACATTAAAACAGTCTAAATTTTTTTTTCTAAATTTAAAAATAGATTCTAACATATCAATAATAAATTGTATATCTAATATTGAAGCAATACATATAATAAATAATAGTATAAATTGGAAACAAGAACAAATAAAAAACCTTGAAGATAAGATAACAAAATTAATTTGTTAAATAAGTTTCAAAAAATAGAAAAAGCGTTAATAATAACTAATTCACTAGAAAAAAGAAACTAAAAATTTTATTTAATATATATGGAAACTTTACAAGGAAAAAGTAGAAATACTAACTAAATTATTTGCAGCATTAGAAATTTCGTTCGAAACTCAAGAAAATAATATAATAGAAAATAATTCAGATAATGATGATGCAGAAGTAATATATGATTTTTCTTCAGATGATGAAAATCCTTATTCAAACCCATATAGAGATTCATAACACAATTTTGGATCAAAACGAAAACAATCATATGTTGAAGACGATTATCAAAGTCAATATATTTATGGACCACCTTCGTTAGAAGAAAATTTTTTATATAGGCAAGGAATGGTCAAAAATAAACAAAACAAATGGGAAAAAAAATACCTCCACAATATATACCTAAACTATTTACTTTTCCAACAAATTCAGATATTCTTTTTATTGATTGTGAGCAAAATCCCGAAGCAAAAATTCAAGAATGGAGTAATAAAATGGGAATTCAAATTCAACTAACTGAAGAATTAAGAAATCTACATCCAAAAAATTTTCTTAATTATATTATACATAAAACACATGGCAATGCATATCATTTCCTTTCATCTCTCGATGAAACAGAGACGATGATGATAGCAACCACTGATGCTATGGAAACATTTAAAAATGTATTAAATCGGCGTATTCAAGAATTCATAGGAAAACAAATAGAAGATAAAACATCTCAAGAAGCTTTTCAATTAGAATCATTATGACATCTAACTAACTTACGAATTTGTAACATGTGTTATTTAGACCCATTTATATGCGAATATTCTGAACATTATTATAATCTAGATTTTACTAGAAAAAAGATAGCATTAGACATGTTTTACCAAAAATTACCATCATTAGTAAGTCAAAGTGTAATAAAAGATTTCCAATAAGAATTACAACAAAATAAAATTGCAGATACCTTAGGAGCAAGGATAAGTATATTAAAAGCATGGATGCAGAAAAAATGTTTAGAACCAAAAACAACACAAGATGCAAGAACTGATTTATGCTGTGATACCTTATTTAATAAAGTCAATCAATATGGTTGTAAAGACAATAAAAAAACAAAAATATAAAAAGAAAATTTGGAAAAACAAACTTATAAACCTAAATATAAACAATATTATAAACAAGGTGAAAGAAAATATTTTCGAGACAGAAAACAATATAAGAAAAAATATCAATCTAACACAAATTACTGTCCATCTAATAAAAAAGATTGTAAATGTTGGATATGTCAAGAAGACTGACACAAAGCCTACGAATGTCCAAAAAAGACTAAAAAAGAAAAAGAAACAAACTTATTAAAAATTGCATATGATCTCGGGTATGAACCTATAGAAGATTCAGGAATAGATTCAGATATAGATATTTATGCATATACAACTGATACTGATTCTGATTCAGATAAATAGTCCTATGAAGAAAGCATTATTGGGTTTAGAACATGAGGAAAACCTCATATCTAACCTATCCAAAGTATACATTGCTAAAGCATATATTGGTATGAAAATACCATCCAAAGCAAACAATGATAAAGTATACAGTGATATGAAAATATCACCAAAGCATACATTGATATGAAAATTCTCATATCATCATTTAAAATATTAAAAGCAAACAAAATTCAGCAATCATTCAGGTACCCAAAAGGCGCAAATATTCATTCAGCAGAAATATTGAAATGGAAGCCATCATGAAGCAAGTCAAACACCAGTTCAGACAAAAGAGGAGCAAGAAGCATCATTAATCAGACAGCTTGAAGTAGTCAAACGTAAAAAAGAGCAACTACAACAAACAATACAAATTCTATCATCTTATTCAACATCTAAAGAAGAAGCAGCCAACAGCTCAACAACAAAGCAACCAAAAGAAGAAATTCAAGAAATATCATCCGATGAAAGTCAACCACAAATAGTACTCGAAACAGAAAAACAAACTATGACGCTAAACCAGGAGGAGTATCCACCACTACAAACAGATCATAAAAATATAAAGAAATGGTACGTAATTTTCAACGGAGAAAACAAAGGAGTATATGACGATTGGGGAATCGCTAGTTCATATATTCTTGGAAAAAATATCATTCACAAAAGTTACAGAACGAAAAATGAAGCAGAAACCGCATACAACAAAGCATACAAAGCAGTAATAAAAGATAACATCGAATGTTCAAAAACAGTTCTCCTAACACCACAAAAACCTATATCCAACTTCACACCACAAAAACCTGTATCCATCCCAAGATCCCTTAACCAATTAAATGCAAAAATTGCCCTTTAATCCATTCTATCAACCAAAGAAAAAGAAGCCATGAAAAAACCATCTGCCAAAAAATTTGCCGAATTATGGGACAACCTCATTTCATACACCGAAGTCCATTCCTTGATGGGCTTTTACCCAGTAGCCAGACGCCCAGGTCCTAAAGCAGTTTTCTTAGCCGACTTATCAGATCCTATGACTTTATGTGATTATTTTATTCATGGATTCATCGACACCATCTATCTAGAAGGCACCAATTTACACTGCATCAGCGAGTTCCCTTCTGTTGTGCAAACTATCATCAGAAATTATAAGATACGATTTGCAAAATAGGAAAGAGGATTATTCATTAAAATGCATTCTAGCTATCCAATTTTTGATGAAGACTCTCAACTAATTGTCCCAAGTATTACTTTCACAAACATGGGAATAAGCAACGGCTCAAAACCAACAAAAGATGATCTACCACGAGAATCACCAACACAAGATCATCTAATTTTTGCACTCGCCGGTGTCTATTTAGCATCATCACGCATAGGCAACGTTAAAGATCAAAAGTCAAGAATTAGAGTGAATTACGATAGTAAAACTTTCATTATCTATTCGTTAACAGATAGTGAAATCACTCCGAAAGCAATGAAAGCAATTCAAATCTTCGAATAACCTTTCGAAAATTTTTCTCATCAATTAGCTGAATTACCTGCTGATATCAAAAAACAACTTTGTAAACATATTATGCATGCACCAAGACACAATTGCAGTCACTGTTCAGAAAACATGGAAGAAACACCATTCATGGAAGATTAACGATAAAAGAAAACATTTTTCAAAAATATGTCTTTTTGGAGGTGGGAGGAATGAGAATGACCTATTTCTGAATAGCATATTCAAATGACATGTTCGATAAAACTAGCTTGAAGCTCGTAACTTGTAGCTTGTAGCATTTTGTTAAATGCTACATAAAGTAGCATTTGGATTTGGAACGTTTTGTTTAGACTAAATGCTAGAAACTTGTAGCGCCAAACGAGATTTTCTGTTCAAAAATGAACATTTTGTCAAATCACTAGAATTAAAGCTCTCAAACGCTCCTAAACACCTCATGCCGAACACGTCGTTTGTGTTTTCAACTTAATCTCTACTTTATAAAACTTTGGATTGCCTTTTCTTTCTTATTTTCAACAATGTAGGATCCCATATCTCGTATTGTAATCTAACTAAAAAAAGACCCATGCTTCGCATGGGTTGGAAATGTTCTTTCAAATTCATTAGATTGGATCGGACTATTTCGTCATGTTGTCATGAGATTTAATTAGTATGTTTCGGATATTATATATATTGCCATCAACTTTACATAGGTTTTTTAATAACTATTGTTGGACAAAATTCAATGACACGACAATAATAATTTTTTCTCACAAAATTTTTTAGAGTAAATTATTGAAATCTTCCCTATGGTTTGGTCAAAATTGCACGTTTGGTCCCTAACTTTTTTTTGCACTCGGGTCGTCCCTATGGTTTGATTTTGTTGCATTTTTCGTCCCTTACATACATAAAGTTAGGGACCAAACGTGCAATTTTGACAAAACCACAGGGACGAAAAACGCAACAAAATCAAACCATAGGGACGATTCGAGTGCAAAAAACATGTTAGGGACCAAACGTATAATTTTTACTAAACCATAAGGACGATTTCAGTAATTTACTCAATTTTTTTAGAAAGAAAAAGATAAGATAAATTAAATATCATTATACTTTTTGTTCTTACAAATGCTCTTATCCGATTAAATAATAATGTGTGTAATATTTAATACTCATTTAATGAAATTTAATGAAATTTTAGTATATTAATATGACACATGTCGTCATTTAATTAGATAATTAGATAGAAATATTTGTAGGAACAAAAGTAAGAGGATATTTAATTTTTCAAAAGGTAAGAGAAAATAGGAAATAAAGTAAAATGAATGGCATATTAAAAATTTTGGAATTAGACAATTAGTTAGTAGAGTTGCCTTTATTACCACAAAAGCTATCAGGGGTATCTTCCCAGTTTTTATATAGTTTACTAGGTTATAGTCCGTGTTCCACACGGTTAAAATATTAAAAGAATAAAAATATTAGATAATTGTTAAGCATCAATCACAAATTTTGAAAACCAATATTTGTAAAACACATTGGAATTATATATATATATATATATATATATATATATATATATATATATATATATATATATATATATATTATGTAAGTGAATAGGGGTGTAAGTGAGTCAAGCTACTCATGAGCTACTCGGGATTGATTCGTTAAAAGCTCGACTCGAGCTCGAATTAAAGGAGCCTGAGCCGAGCTCAAGCCTAAATATGAGGCTCGTTTATTAAATGAGCTCGAGCCGAGATTCGGTTCTATGGACTCGCGATACTAAACGATCCTCTCTTTCTCTCTCTCTCTCTATATATATATATATATATATACACACACACACACACATACTTACGTGCGTACATCTGTACATACATACTTACATACACGCATGCACACACACACATACATACGTACGTACATCTGTACATACATACATACACGCATGCACACAGACACTCATATATATATATATATATATATATATATATATATATATAGAGAGAGAGAGAGAGAGAGAGAGAGAGAGAGAGAGAGAGAGAGAGAGAGAGCCCACTAAATTGTTCACGAGCCAAGATCGAGCTTGATTTTAAGGCTCGAATCGAGCTCGAGCTTCCATAAAGTTAAAAGAGTCGTGCTCGAGCTTGATCGGGCTCGGACTCGGCTTGACTTGTTTACAGTGAATCTTAGGAACAATGGTTAGGTATTGTTCATTAGGTTATTTACTTTACCTGGGTTGCTTCTGCCTCTCTTATCCCACCGCTTCCAACTTCTAGAATCTCTTGCTTATTCCTCCACCACCTAATCTAATACTCCTTTATTCCACCACCACCTCTGCCTTTACCTCCATTAAGGCAAAAAGCCATTTCAATTTTGGTTCCCTTTCTCATAAATAAATCGATTGTACTGTTCGTTGGCTTCTCCACTACTGTTTGTTGGCTTCTCCACGAGCACCACCACTTTGGTTGCTTCTTCACACGTGTTAGCAATCTACCATTGTCAATGCTTCCAGATCCTTCCGGTCCACTAATGCTCATCACTTAAAAGTGATTTTGTTAGGGTTTCTATGTGCTGCAATCGAAGTGTCGCTTCTGTTTTTCCTTCTTTTCTTGATCGCTTATGCTTATCCTCCGCTTTTCTGTGCACTCACCACTGGTCTAACTCCCTACCACCGCTCCACCAATGCTCATTGTTGCAACGTAATCTTCCTAGGGTTTCTATGTGCTGCAGCCGATGTCTACTCCATCTTCTCCACTGCTTGACTTCTTCGCTAGGTTCTCCTTAACCCGATCGGTTTCCGTTATCTACCTCCATCATCATCACCGCTTACCGTCCTGAACTATCGATTATCACCCACCATCATCGTTTGACTCAATCGACCACCGCCTCCTTAGCCCAAGAAGTTTTGGGCGACAAAGATTGTCTCATTCCCAAATGACGGATAACATATCCTTTTGAGGTGAACGAAGAATTGATTGGGGGTTGTAATTACCCGACCTCAAATCTAATGTGTACACTATATGTTTGATCATATGCTCTTCACTCTGTTCGAATTTTTTTCGGTTGATTTCTACTCAACTTCATATGAAGATGTAGATTTTTTAGGTGAATTTGATGGAAATTTTTTGTGTTTTTCTATTTGAGTTGAAATTTGTGTGTGTGTGTGTGTTTTTTTTTTTTTTTTTGCAGATTAGGTTGTAGAAAAAGGTATATTGTGATGAGTGGTTCCTGGGGATTTAACCTAATTTCAATATTTATCGTCAACTTTGTTTATATGCTCTTCGCTGAAGGTGTCTAATCATATCATCTTTTATCTATTAGACGTTTTTTTAGTTGATTTTTACTCAACTTCATATGACGATGGAGATTTTGTAATTGAATTTCTTTGAATTTGTTTCAGTTTTTTCATCGGAGTTGAAATTTATGTGTTTTGATGCAGATTAGGTTGTAGAAAAGTCGAATATATAGATGAGTAGTTGCTGGGAATTTGCCTACCTTCAAGGTTAATTTCTTTCTATGAAATTTTGTCATTCTATAAGTTTAGGGTTTATGTTTTATTGATAATTATGAAATTCTGATTGTGCCAGCTTTTGGGAAGTGTATTGATTGTTCTTTTTTCTACTTTTGGATAGTTTAAGAGACCTGTTCTTCCCAAAATATTCCCAATTTGATTTCGAATTCTAAACATATGTAACTTGAATGGTTTCAATCTTTTTGCCTTTCTTTTCTCTCATGTTTTCCTGTTTTGATTTAATACGATAGATTGTATTTAAACATTTTCGTTTGCAACCAAGTTCCAGCATGTGAAAACCCTCCATTGGTAGGTACTTAAAACCTTTTGGAGGTCTGCTAATTATCAATGATCGCCTATGGTTATCGATTTTAAGCCAAAGAAAAAGGCAGATGATATAGCTGTAACTATTTTATCGGTTAATATCTCAAATCAGATGATATGTCAATACTTTCTTCAATTTTCCTTTCTCAATCTCCTTGATTCTTATTATTCATCTTCCATGTTATGTAACATTTTCTGATTCAATCACAGTATTTTTGAGATTTTGTTGATAATAAATCTTCATTTTATGTAGATTGATAGGTTGTATGTAGGAGATGGATATGATACAAAGGGAACTTTACCAACATTACAGACTTTAGCATCAAAAACAACATGTGGAATTGTTTACTGTAAATCCAACACTTAAAATGAAACCATATCGGGTTCTTTTCAGAAATGGATAAGGTAACCCTTCTTCTACTCCTTTTGTTGTTATGGCTTTGGTAAACAAAAAAAGTAACTTATGTGGTTTTGACTTTGGATTTGGTTTCAACTAAACTCACTATAGGTATTCTTTATTCGGACATTGACATGTGGGTGAAGATGATCTTGAAGGTGACGATGGATATTTATATATGTCAAACAAATTAGAAATAGATTTTACAAATGTTAGAATTACCCTTGGTTTAAGTCGGTCTGGCCCTGTAGGCCTTGAAGATGTTAAACATATGTAAGCCTTTCTATCTTATCCCTGTTTTGTATAAAAATTTACTACCATCATACTTTACAATAATGTCCCAGGTATAAGGTTATAGTTTCTTTTTAAAAAAAATTTGTTTTTTTTTAATTTGTTTTTTTTTCCCGATAACAAGTTTGTGCATCGAAATGGCATCCATGTGGGTTCTTACAAGGTACAATCTATTCTATTTATGGTTAAATTGCAAGAGATAGAAACATACTTTCTTTTAGTGGTTCATTATGGCATCATACTTTCTTTCCTTTCTATTAAATCATTGCTCTTTTTCTTCTTAAGGCGTTGTACTTTGAAAAATCTACACTTGTAACACCAAGAATCAGGAAGACCAAGAAAAGAAAGGTTAAGCTCTACATCAAGAGTCAACTCGTCGAGTCCAGGGAGGAACTCGACGAGTCGTAGCGGGATCCGGGTCACTGAGTAAGTGATCGACTCGGTGAGTCAGTGAGTGGACTCGGCGAGTTTGGTATGGGCGAGAAAAACCCTAATCCC